CTCTGGAGCAACATCCTTCAACTGTGCTGATGCCCACAAGCAGTTGGACAAGTGTTGAGGAATCATGTCACCAGCCTTGCTTTGAATTCGGGCAGCCAACGCTGGCACGACCTTCAGTACATCAGGACTGACATCCTTTAACTGCGCTGATGCCCAGAAGCAGTTGGACAACTCCTGTTCATCCATGCCAGGCGCTTTCTCAGGAAACACTTTTATCAATGCTGGCAGCAACTGAGTGGTTCCGGGAATCGCGTCAAATAATACTGCCATTGCCCAAAGCACATTGGCCGAAGCCTGTGGGTTGATCTGCTGTGACATGATAATGGCGTTCACCCGAGTATGAAGCTTGGGCAGCACCGGGCTTTCACAAAGTCCTTGCAGCAACCCCTTCCGATGAAACTTTGCCAATGTGTGATATGCTGCTGAGATGTGGAAGTAGTTGAAATCAGGAAAATACACGGCCTCATTCAACACATCAAGCAACTCGGCAGCTGTCGAAGCCCTAGTGATTCTGCGGGTCAAATCCTTGATAGCCTTCTCACCTCCTGTTGAAGATGAAAAGGAACGTGACTTTCCACCTCCTGACAACTTGGAATCACTTTTCTTTCGCCACAGCGAACCTCTTCTCTCCCGCACCAGCATGGTAGTCCGAAGCGGTCGCTCGCCATGGGGTCGAATTTGGCCCACAGCTTGGCCGGCATAATTGAGGGGCGGCACTTGGAAGCACAGCAGCCACACCAGGCAGCTCGCAAACACGCATCTCTTGCAGCCCCTCGGCTCTGCCAAACGTGTTGCCAATGGTTTTCGGCTTGCCTTCAACGCGGACATGGCTGGACAAAATGCCCGACAAGCTTCGAAATACATGTTCCGCGCCCTTGACACATCATGTCAATGGTGAGATTGTCTGAATATGTCTGAATCTGCATGTATCAACCGTTCTGTGCCTAATCTGCAAGCCATGACAGCTGGGAAAGCTGTTGCTATGTGGATGCAGTCAGGAAGTGGCAAACATAACACATACGATCACACCAAACGCCGATCGCCTCCAGGGGATGTTGAGAGAAAACAGCTGGGTTTCAATGATCTCTAGGTTGATGCTACCAATCCCAAGGCTTCAGCATTTGCATCATGTGATCCGAAACGGGAAAGCAAGGGCATCATGCTTGCTGCTTGCCGCTGATGGGTCCAACCCCTCCAAAAAGCTTCTTGTTTCACTCATTACCTCATTCCTCCTCCTTCTGATATTGCTGCTCTCGCGTGCCAACACCCCATCACCACCACCAACCCGCCGCACTCAGCCCGCCGGGTTTCGAAGAGGTATTGATAGCCACGGTGAGCAGAAGCACCCGGAGCATGTGCATGGACGAATGGATGAAGCAGTAGGACAAGACCTCCAAGCCACGGCAAGGTAAGTAACGGCGGATGGCTCCAGAAGGACCCTTCTGCAACAGCCAATGTTCCTCTGTCATGTGGGTGGGGTCATTCTGGCACAAAGGTTCTTTACAATATGAACTTGGTGGACTGATGCTGAGAGGATATACCCCAAGAGTAGACTGGGGCTTGGATGATATGGTTGTAGGGCCGTCTCATCTTTAGACATCAACAGCATGTGCGCGCTCGCTTTAGCTCAAGGAGAATCAACGTCACGAGTCTGGGGCCAATCGAGGCTGTTATGTTCTGTAGTGATGTGTCCACACTGTGCGAATTCCATTCTATGGTTGCCGTCATGCCTCAAACTCTTTTTCTGAACATGGTGATTGGTCGCGACTTTTGCTGGAAAGTTGTCCTCCGGTAGACCACATCCTACCCCCGAAAAGTATACTCGACATATATATTATAACTTGGCATTCCAACTTCTACCCTCCTTCCTTCCATCCCTTCCATTGCCTTCCCCAAAATCCACCCCCCTCAACCACCCTCCCCCGTGCCAGCAGGTACTGTGGCAGCAGCTCCACCGCACCGGCTCCGCCCGACGCCCCCGTCGCTCGGGCCGCCAGGAGGTCGAAGAGATCGACGCCCACCGAGCGAAGCCAACGCTCCGCGAGCTCCTGGAGACCAGCGGAAGCGTTTGCGGCGGGTTTTGGGGTTCGGAAACGGGTGCCGCGAGGTGGAACGGAGAAGCGTATGGAGGAGCCAAACGCCCTTGGTACCGCCCATATTCTTGGCTCAAATCCCAAAAGTTTTGGGAGTTCGTCGGATTTTGCCAGCATCATTTGTTAGAAGTCGTTGGGGGGCAAAGCATGGATTGGTCGGAAACCAACCAAATCAGCGTGCTGAGAGATGCCAAGGTTCCAACATGTTGAAGAAGACGTAAAGCTTCAAAAAGGATTCACCTAAAGCAGCACGTCACCCAACGGATGCGGATGCTTGACAAAGGCCCTGCAGCACTCTGGGGTGCCTGGAAATGGGCTAGCCTCAAAAATACGCACATCCAAAATACTTGCCTGTCCGTGTTCGAAAGAGAAAACACCCAGGAATTGTTTCCAACATGTTCAAACAGCCCAAATCTCTTCAACAAAAAGTGTGGGTTCCACTTAATGGGTGTGGCAAACCTTACTCAGCATTGATCTACTCCTACTATCCCTATAGTGTGTGGAAATCCCTGAGTCCTGTGATTGGTTGCTTCTTCTATGTATTTTTGTATTATAAAGCTCGAAGGATACTGCGGTACACCCAAAATGTGTCCCACCCAACAGAAACACTCACAATGATAGAAGGCCTTGAGCGGGTGCCCCTTTCATAGCCCCCTAGTAGGGTGGTTCATCAACACCCCTGCTGGATCCTGGTCAATGCCATGTATGATATTCTTGGTGATCTAAGTTTCTGTAAGCTCTCCACTCCAAGTCTCTCAAGCTCTTTCTTTGTGGCCAGCCGCCACGGATGTAGTGATACACCCAGGAGTTACTGAAGAACATCGATTGCAAGGCCACGTTGGCAAGCAGTAAACCTCGTTTGGCGCGGCAAGAAGGTGTGGAAACGCATACGACAAAATCATCGCAACGACAAAACCCGTGGATGGGGCAAGTTGGAGCTACAGTGGGGAGGCTATGGGAATCCAGAACATCCAGAACTAGATGTATCCCAAACACGACTAATGGGAATGCCATCTGACTGCCGATCAGTTGGGGTGGTGCCAGGGGGGTCAATGTAAGCATATGTGGCATACATGGAGTGTCTGGGTATAAACTCCAGTTAGCTTTTAAAGAATTTAAAGGAAAGGAGTACCCGCGAAGCATCATGATTGTCTATATTTTTTGGTGTTTTTTTCATTGCTCCTCTTCATGGTCAATTCCACCAAGGCAGCCTCAAAATCAATCCATGACGATTCGTGAGGCAAATTCCCACGAACTCCAGGAATACCACCTCGCCTCGAGCCTCGTGCAACATCGGCAGATTCTGCATAATATCATCCGAGCAAGGCTGTCTTTTGTCAAAGTGTTCTTTGACCCTAAAAATAGATTAAACAGTGAGTGGGTAGACTGGAACCTCCAAAGGCGCTTCCTTGCTCAGAGGCCCCATCTACTAGGTTGCATGGTGATGGGGAAAGGAGTCGGTCGTCTTATCCAGCGAATCTCCGACCTCATGGCCCAATCTGACTCATCACAGAAAAAGACATCGTCTTCTCGCGGCGCGAAGACTGTTGGAACACCCCCGCCAGCCACTTGCCAACCATCACCATCCTCTTGCCAACCATCTATGTCAGCTTGCATGCCTCACCTCTCTGATCTCTGATGTAGCTTCTGGACCCAGAAGAGCCAGCTGCTAACCCAAGTGGCTCAAACGAATCAAATCACACTTCTCCGTGATCGTCACCGCCGGTGCCGCACGTCGGGACGCGCGGTTGGTCCGGAAGACTTGGCGCAGGAGCGCACAAAGCACCTGAGGCGCGGTTCGGGGGCGGAATTTTGTGAGAGTTTGTTTGATGACTTGATTGATTATATTTAATCGAATTTGGGTAGCTTTGTGTTTGACCTTAATGTGTTTAGTGTTCAACCTCTGCAAAGTCATAGTTGTTTGATATTGTTTGATGACGTGTTTGATGTTATTATTATGGCTAGCCATGGGTCATTTTGCCCCCCGTTTTCTGTCAAAAGAATCCTCGAAGGTCACGGTCACCTCGCTTGGTAACAGGGAGCTTAGGCGCAATTATGTTGGTCGCCACTCTTTGTGAACGATGATGGTTAGTGACAAACTATTAACCAAATGACATCAATTAGCTGTTGGCTAGCAACTGTCCAACTGGGATGGGTGTCACAAAATAAGGCGCAAGCCTCCAAAATCCTTGTAAAAGCCGATGAACATGATTGAACACCAATTGGCTAATTAATCACCTGATCAACCATGGACAAGAATATGACAACGCCAAATACCAGTCCCCTCACTCTGCTCTTGGTCTCCTCTTCCTCGAGGGTTGGGAAGCCTTTTTAAGAGGTCTGAATTGGTGACCTGTTCAAAGTCTGGTGCTGATAAGGTTCCATATGGTCCCTACAAGTCAGCTTGACCTCATTTTACTGGAATACAAAACCAATACTTAAGGAGGTAAAAGACCAGGTTTTGCTGGGTCTTGGGGTTATATTGCTTTGCGAAGGTTTGCACCGTGGGTCTCCCACCCCCGAAGGTTTCCTCTTCCCAGCTTCGCCTGGAGGGGCGTGAAGCTAAGCTCATGGAGGAGGATGTCGAAGCCTCAGGAGCTAACACTGAACTGCTCCTGTCCAGTCTAGCAGAAATGCATTCCTCTAAGAATCATGGAATGTAGAGGACCTTTGGCAAGGCAGTGTCATGTTTTGTTCTTCGGATGCTGTTGGTTCTTACTGCGTAGTTTAGACGAAAAATAAGGGTCTAGGAGTCTAGGTGTACAGCAAACTGGGTGCAACAAAGTCTCTAGTTTGGTTCTTGCAAGGGTCCAGCTCCACACCAAAACTACTTATAATTGATATATGATATATATATATATATGTGTGTGTGTGTGTGTAATTGACCATGACTCTGACCGTGTCTAGGGTGACAATGAAGCACTACGCGGCCTTGCCAAATCGGCTGCATATCACCACAAAAAAACGCCTGAGTCATGTACAAAGGTCCGCTGGAGGGTTCTCCCCACAAGCACAATGACAACAACTACCACAACGAGCCCGACAACACTGGCTTTCATTCACCTGGACATCCCCAATTCCTAAGGCTGAAGCACCTCCAACTCCCTCCAAACAGGACACCACACCCCTCCTCGCACCTAGCACCACCAAGCCACTGCGCCCAAAAAGAGAGGCACCCAGCCCACCCTTCCGCCCCGCTGAGATTCTAAAGCACGTTTTAGATCGTTTTAGGCACTTTGTTTCATTGACTTTAATCAGCATGCCCTTGACCACCCAGCCCACCAAATCTTCTCGAGATTTGTGTTTCGGCATACCAGGAATTAGCCCGCTATGCGTGCCGAATCTGGGGCCCAAGGAGCACAACAAAAAGCCGAAGGCCAAGACCTTCTCCAAACGCAGCGGAACGCGCGCCACCTCCAACAGATGACCTCAGCCGTCCGCGCAGCCGTCCGCGGAGCTCCCGCTCGACCGCTCGACCGCTCCGGAGTTCAAACAAGCAGGTCCAATAGGATGCGATGCCATCACCTCAAACCTTGAACCGTGAGGATCACGCCAGGATTACAGTAAATAGACATGAATTCAAGCGCATGACAAATCATGCTCAGCATGATGCTCAGCACCTCCCAATGCCATCCACCCACCAGGGAGTCATCCTCATCTTGAAATTCTACTTGGCTACACGGCCCTCTGTGTCATTGCGGGATACTGACCGCTTGGTGTCGCAACATTTCGTGGACCTCTCGGGCTCTGAACACTGTCCAAAGTAGCGTCCTTGCTCCTAGTAACGATGCCAGGAGGCCCTAGTAGCGAACATTGTTCCCCTAGAGATCCAGTTGTACCTTCTGGTTCGGTATCCTCCTGGACCCGACTGGCTGGCGCCGAACAGTGTCCAACACATCGAACGCAGCTGAAGTACGGTACGAAAACGGATTCCTATAGGGACATGGCATGCCATGCTTCAAAAAACCAAAGGAGTCGTTAGGAGCCCCTTGGTGGTCGACCCTTTCTTCCTCTTTCGTCCCCTTTTTGGCTTCACTCCAAGTGGCTTCGGGGCACCTTGGGCAGCTGCGCTTCATCGGGGCGACTCCGCGTTTCGTCGCTCAGCCACCACCAGAAGTTCGGCGACGGCGCGACCGGCGCGACCGGCGGGACCGGGACGCTGTGCCCGTGTCGGTCGGGGTGGTTGGGCAGCGCCAAGGCCTGCGGTCCAAGGGAGGTGACAAAAGGTGTGGCATCGTATGGCATCGACTGGAACAACGTTATTATATTTCTATATATCCCTAGGGATCCAAGTACCTTCTCAGAAGGCACCTGGACCCTCCAAACCCACCCCAAACACCTTCTGAGAAGGTACTTGGATCCCTAGGGTATGTCTTATTATTTCTTATATTTTAAGTGACAAGTGACTGGAACGTCTCTGTTTGATCTTTCGGGTGAATGGCCCTACCAAGAGAACCCAAAACCTTTAAAAAAGCAGGTCGCAAGGACAAAACCAGGTTTTTAATGAAAAAACCCGGTTCTTGAATTCATACGTTTTTTCAATATTTCATCATGTATACACCCTCTCATTCAGACACCACAAACATCCCGCGCGCACACAACTTTTCTTGCTCACCCCAATCATCCTTGAAGATGAATCCCCGATCATCCTTTGATGAACCCTGCGTCCGTCCAAGCCTTCAATGCCACACACAAAGATCGCTCCAACACACGAACGATGACCTGACTTGCAGCGACCCTTCTGGCAAGTCGGGACTTCTTGCCCACCAGGTCTTCACTGAGCTGGACAGCGAAGGTGAGAGGATTGAAGGTCCATTCTGCCGTGGCCTCCGCGCACTCTAGAAAGACATGGTGGCAGACATGGCTCTTAGGCATATAGATATACAACGCCTTGCCCTCGTCATATGCAAGTCGAGCTAGGCGCTGATAGCAACTCATGAACTTCAAGCCATGCTGCCCAATCCGATGAGCGGCTTCACGTTTCAGCCACACATCTGCACGGTACAGTTGCTCCATGCATGTATTCAACGATTCAGCTGCCTCTAGACTCGTTGTCAGGAGTGGACAATCGCTCACATCATTCACATTCGCACGAAGCCACCATGCCACAAACTTCATGAAGGCCGTGGTGATATGTCCCTTCGACCACATCCCGTTTGGGAAGGTCATCCGGTCAAACCATCCAAGTGTATCTTTGCTGATGCTCGTGACATATGGTGTCACCTTACACTCCTCACACCACTGAAGGAAAACGTTGGTCAGCTCTGAGAATCTTCCATCAATGTTTGTGCTTTCCATTCGGTCCGAGATCAAGGCTAATGCCGAAGCAGTAAAAGTCTTTCCCATTCCAAGATGCAACGAGTGCCAGACATCATACGTAAAGAAAGCAGCTTCGCGATCAGGCTCATGGGGGATGCCAAGCAAGGTTGGTCTTTTTGTGAAAGGGACATCGCCTTCCTCAAACATCGTGCTTTTCCAACATGGGTTTGGCCCAAAGTCCTCGAAGGGCACGTTGATCTGACCAGCGCGGCAGTAGTGGCAGATTCCGCGAGGGTTCGAGTTCAGGCCTCGAGGACGCTTTTCCACGTTCGAAAAGCTTCTTCCAAGGTTGCCGGCTTTAGCCAGAAAGGCCCAATCACCAGTGCAATTGATTACAGCCATATAGTGCCTCTCACCATGATTGCTTTGCACACCACTTCGGATCATAGACAATGAATCCTGTGTGACAAATTGGAGGATGGTCTGGAAGGCAACTTCATCTTTCAGCATTTTCGGTAGCACGGCTGTGAGAAGATATGTCACATGAGTACTCTCGGAGTAGTTCAGCTTCATTGTTAAATATTCTCTGTGCTTCCTGAATTGGTTCGCAGCATGCGTCCCGAAGCCCAGCACTGAGTGGTATGAAGCTACTAAAAATGGAGCCCGCTTCCGTCCACGGCCTTCGTCGCCGTGAAAGACCATCGGACAACATCGGGAGAGGTCTACATTGTTCTTCTCAAATTCCTCCCAAAGCTGGTGATGCGGCCTCAAAGCCTTGAAGCGCTGCCAGAAAGCTGACAAAATGTCACACTCCCTTTTGGGATTTGGCCTGTGTAGCCCAAGCATCACGTGCCAGCAGTCATGATCGATCATGAATTTGCACCAATCTCTTAGAGATATTGCTTTAAAGTCTCCTGTGAAACGAATTCCAGGGCTTTTGGGCAAGTTACTCAATTTCACTGGCAAGAGAAGTTGGTACTTCCTGGCAACTCGATTGACATCCCTTTCGCTGTGGGATTCGGTGCACTTGCCTAACTCTACGAGTCCACGGCTTCTAGCTGCAGTCTGCTCTCCAAGATCTGACACTATGTTCTTGGCGGCACGAATCGCAGCACGGCAAGTCGAGGCCTCAGAGCCGGAGAACGGTAGCATCGTACGCAAAGGCAACCAAAGGTTTTTGGAACAAACCTGCATGAGTGTATGAAAACCTGAAAGTGAGTGCAAACAATATACGGCTTGCATGCAAATCTCTCAAACAGCGCTGTTCATAAAGAAAGGCAGGAGTTGGCTTTTGCAATTGCATTCCTCATGCGAGTGTCTCCTCAAGTGCACCCACCTCTTTTGCTTTTGCGTGCCATGCACCCCCGTATGCAAGACATACAACATCCCACCCCCTATATATATAAAACTCTTTGTCGCACATTGATTGGAGTCATGTTTGTCTTTAATATAAATTGAAGGTTTTGCCGGTGGTGGGTGAGATGTTCCAAGTCCTGCCGTAGAAACATCACATAGGCTTGAACTTGAAAGATCTGTACACCACATAGCACATATGTGCCCCACTAAAAGCAGTGCTCACAGTATCTCCGCCAAGTTTGATGTTCTTGCACCCCGCTTTACCTTGGACGGCTGCTGCTGCACCCCGTGGGCTAAATCTTTAGGTTGTTGAACCATGCGTTTGCATTGAAGTGCAAACAAACAATGGAGAAATATGTTTGCAGGCTAGATACCCTTGAACATCTCGATGAGAGAAGCTTCCAACATAGCAGGACCAAAAGGTTCATCTGAAATCCAAAGTACAATCATTTGAGACCACTTTTCTTTTGCACGGCAGTAGCCATAGAGTGAGTTTCCCCAACGCCAGCATGGGTCATGAGTATACCCCACTTTAAAAATAAGTGGCTCATGCTTCTCAAACAAGTTTTGTATGGCATTGATGCAGTGCAAAAGCACCTGCCCCGCAGTGATGTTTTGACAACGGGGTAGCTTGAAAGCAATGCTGCCCATGGATGCTGCCTGCAAAGCAATGGCACGGAAACTCGGGTTAGACTGCAAGCTGACTGGCGCCGAGGACACCCAACCCGGCAACATTGATTTTCCCTTGGTCTGGTTGTCCTCTTTCACATTGCGATTCACCAAACTCCATGGGAAGGGGCCATCAGATTCCTCGATCAAACACATATATACACATGCATGCATAGGTATATATTTCTTTGCAATTCCACCAACACATGCAAACCTGTTTTGTCTTTCGTTATACCATTCCTCCATGTACGAAAAACACTGCCGAGAGTCAGTGCGGTGGCAAGAAAGTAGTTCAATTAGTTCGGCTTCTACGGCTTCATCGTCCATGGCGCTGTGAGGCAGTAAGCCCACGCGTTGCCTGTTCAGAGAATCTGAAACCTTTGAGACATTGGCTCCCGTTGGAACGAGTGTTGACTTATAGAACTGTCCAACTCATACATACCTTTTAAAAATCCATCCACTCTTTTCCATCCACCCAACCTGAGATATACAAAGGAGCTGCGGTTGAGGGTTTATAGAAAGTCGATTGACTCGCACCAGATGAATGGTTTGGATCTGAAGCCGCATCTTGAGGCGCGGACACCCTCGCCGATCTCTCCAGCCAAAGCCCTCAAAGCGTTTCCTGCACCTGGCTCGCATGGGAGTGGGCATGGTGTGAAGACTGTTTGGGAGTCTTGGGATGGGCAAAGGGATTTTGAGGCAGCAAGCGTATGTGCTAATACCTCTTTTCCACTGCTGTTCCCCAGAATCAGTGTGACATCCTCTGTTGAGATAGTGCGTGTCTAGACTGACCATCCATCTTATAGAAAGCACATATATATGCAGAAAACAAAAATCAGATATAGCCGATGGACGAGTTGCCGTGAAGAACATGTCCAATCAGGTATGGCAGATCTGACACGGAGGGATTTAGCGGCCTCATGTGGGCCTGACCCCCCGCAGGAGTGAGACCAAAAGCAGTATTTCCTGCAGGTTCCAAAGGGTCACATGATAGGATTGCCCCTAGCAATCCAACCCATACACTTGTATATACATTATATACACATCACTTCTGACTCTTCTGTTTCTTTTCCTTACGTTTCTTCTCTTTGCTCGCTGGCTCAGCTGACTTCTCTCGTTTGCGCGTGGTCTTCTCTGTCTTCTTGTCTTTCTTGTCACTCACATCACCATCCTTCTTTTCGTACTTCTTGGCATTCCTCATTCAAAAGAGAGGTTTAATCAAGCCTTCACGCAAATCAATCGAAGGAAGCATTCCAAAAGACACTGCTTGCCTGGGTCGATTGTGCATGGATTGAGGTTCTGACCGCGCTTTGGTTTCTGCTGCGCAGGCCGCGGAACACCTGAGCACCGGATGCATTGGGGGCTTGGTAATGGTGATTATATATGCAGATCGAAGTCTATACAGCGTATTGCGTTGAGGTTTGTTGAGCATAAGATCCTTACGCATAGGTGGCCGTGTTCATGGCATTGGTCGCGGTCTCCACGAACCTTCATAGCGTTGCGAGGGTTTGCATTGGTGATCCCAGTTTCCCCCAAACACACATGCATTTTTTAGTCAGAGGTCATTCCAATTGCTGTTAAAGCCTTTGTCTCACGCACAGACCTTGCAGCCCAGAAGCTCCTTTGGGAATCCTGTAACCTCCCCGTTTGCCATGACCGCATTGCAAGCATCGTACTGGGCATCCAGTTTGCCGAGTTGGCTCTCCAACTCCTTCACTTGCCTAGCACATGAGTGGCAATCTCCATGCATTGGTGGTTGCAGACTAAATGGACACGCTTTCAATCAACATATTATATAGAGGTCCGGCCTGGTCATCACGTCACTCTTGTTATAGCAATCCTTGATATCTCTGATAAGAGCCCGGATCTTACCAGATTTCTGAATCATGGAGTCCAAAAACTTGCGCAACTTAATC